CACCCCATCCAACCCTCCTGCTCCCTGTCCCTTGACTCGCCGCGCTCCCTGCCCTGCCCCACCCCAGCTCATCTCCGCTCTGGCTCTGCCTGCTCCCCTGAGAGCGCAGCCGCCCCGCTTCTCCGCCCCGCCCCCGGCTTGCCTCGAATCAGCTGTTCGGCGGCAAGCCTGGGAGGGAGGGGGCGAGAAGCGGAGCGGAGTGGCGCGCTCAAGGCAGCAGGCAGAGGCGGAGCGGAGGTGAGCTGGGGCGGGGAGCGGTTCCCCTGTGCCCCCCCCCCCCGTTACCTGCTGCGGGCAGCCCTCCCCGCGCCCCCCTGCCCCAGCTCACCTCTGCTCTGCCACCTCCCCTGAGCGCTCCGCTTCTTCCCCCCTCCCTCCCAGGCTTGCCGCGCAAAAGTCTGGGTGGCGGGGAAAAGCGGCGCGCCCGGGGGAGGAGATGGGGCCTGGGATTTGTGAAAGGGGTTGGAATGGGGGCGGAGAAGGGGCGGAGCCGGGAGCGGGGGGGGTGCGAGCACCCACTGGCGCCGGCTACAGTCGGTGCCTATGCCCCACGCAGCGCTGCCGGCCTGCTAAAGCTGCAGGGGAGGGGGAAGCGGGGGAGGGGCTTTTGCTGCCGGAGCGGCCCCAAGTGAGCGGCTCAATCCGGCGCGGCTGCCCTGTCAGCCGCTTTTGGGTCTTTAGATAGCCGTCCGGGGGGGAAATCCCGGACATTTTTAGCTTTTTACAAATTCCCCCCGGACGGCTATTTAAAGACCCAAAAGCCGGACATGTCCGGGGAAACCCGGACGTATGGTAACCCTAACCCTGACCAACGTAGCTATGGCAACCTAATGTCTGAGTGTAGACCAAGCCTTAGGCCTAGTCTTAACTTAAAAAAGACCAGTCTAGGTACGTTGCTTGGGGCTGTGAAAAAATTTGCCCCAAGGGCTGGGGTTAGGTTGACCTAATCCCTGGAGTAGATGCAGCAAGGTTGATGGAAAAATTCTTCCATTGACCTAGGTACTTCCTTTTGAGAGACTGATTAACTACACTGATGGAAAAACGCCTTCCGTCGATTGTAGGAAGCATCTACACGATGGTGCTATGGGTGCACAGTTTCACTGCTGTAGTGTAGACATACCTTTAATATTTGCACTCAGATATGTGAAATGGAGAAGGTTGTGTAAAGGCAAATTTGTTTTACCACCAGTACTGTGGGCTTCTCGTGTGACGGTGGGCAATCATGGCTCCCTGAATAGATTATATGGAGAATCCTGTAGTTGGCATAAACAAATTTTCTCTCGCTCCAGGCAGCTGGCATTTATAATGCTGACAAATGTTCAAATGGTTGGGTAGGAAATGCAAGACCTCATGATCAGTAATGAATTTCTTCTCCACTTGCAGTGAGACAGGACCAAAAAAGGGTCACAGAACCATTTGTTCATGAGACACATTGCTTGGGTGTGATGTATTTCCTAGTTTAACACTGTTTGTTTTATTTCCAGTGGCATGCTCTCTCCCGTGAAGAACAAGCTAAATATTATGAACTAGCTCGGAAAGAAAGGCAGCTACACATGCAGCTTTACCCAGGCTGGTCTGCAAGAGATAACTATGTAAGTCATTTACTGGCTGGATATTTTCAGCTAGTGTTTCCTAACTGATTTTTACTTTTAAAAGGCTCTGGGAGGTGGGGTGGTAAAGGGCCATAAAAATTTAGCCTTGTATTTACTTTCCTTTAAGGAAATCTGCTTGCTTGTTGCATTAGTGCTTCTTGTGTCATAATTACAAATTAGTGTAGAACTGAGTGGGTGGAGTAGATAAGAAGCAAAGGGAGTTTAGTCACCTTAAGTCCCTTAGACGTCTCTGAAAATCCTAGCCTAAAATGACAATACATATAGGTGTAAAAGTTTTGGTCTTCACTTTAAACATCCAAGTTTGGAAAACTTTGTAGCCTTAATACTTAATACTGATGCATTCTGTCTTGAAATGCATGAGCATGATGCCTCATATTTTTGTGAAAGAGGAAACTCAAAGTTCAACATGTAGAATTAATGAATTAAGATTTTTTTTCTCCCTTAAGATTATCATATGTCCTATACAATTTATTGTATTACTACGTATAGCTCTGTGAAAGTAACTCTTTTCAAATTTCACGTGCTGTTTTCCATTTGGTCTTGGCCGATTGCTATCCAAAAATCTTCTTTTGAGAGAACTTCCACAGAATGGACACTTTTATAGGAGAACGTAAAAATCAGTGTGTTTACGGCAAACTGATCTTTATCTCAAATCTTAAAATTTCCCATTTCTCCAAAAATCCTAAATTATTTTGAAATACCAAATCAAGTTGTCAATGAGGTTTTCAGCATGTGAGGCCACCCTGAGTAAGATCCAAAGTAGAGGAAAAGACTTATTTACAGTGTTTGATGGGATGTTCCTTCATAAATCTCTTACGATTACATGTACAATGAACGGAAGGAAAATGCAGTTGGCTAAAATCTGGCCCTTGCTTATGCTGCATTCTGGAGTGAATATTCAAAGCTGAGGAGAGAATTTAGCCTTGTGAGAGCCAAGCAATTAAATATCAATCTGCTGCTCTGAAAGTGTAGCCTTTTGAATCTGTTATACATCATGAAGGCTTATCCAAACTGATCTATTGCCCACTGATTGCTGAAAAGGAGGCTCAAAACTTAATTTCATAGTATGTCTGTGCTTGTAACTACTATAACAGGTCAAAATGTGACCTGGTCAAATGTAACAGGTCAAAACATGAAGCTTGTGGTTCTGTAGGAAGCAGCATCCTAGCCTCCGACTTGAGAGACCAGGGTTTAATTTCCTCCCTGCAACCTGGGATCTTGGTCATTTAGAGAAATGCACTTTATTACACTATCTTACAGGTGTTGGGAGAATAAATATGGTAATAATTGTGTGATGCTCTGATCCTATGGTACTGGAGCTAAATAAAGGTTTTTTTTTTTTTTTTAAATAGTTTTAGAGCACTAAAAAAGCCTATTTGTGAATTCAGGTTGAATTTGACTCAGATTTTCAACAAGAAAAAACAGAAGAATTTCAAAAGAAAAAATGTTTTGTTTTGACTTTTTTGTGTCTAAACATTGGCCACATTTTGAATTTGAAATCTTCCTATAAATAAAAACCCCACACAGGCTGAAAAACACCAGAAAATCGCAAAATAAAGCACTCCAGATGTTTTGAGTCAACTGAAAACAAATACCTAAGATAGCCCATGGCAGCTACAGTTTTCATTATAAACCAGTTTTTCTTAGGGTATTTTTTTTATTTGTGAGTTAAACTCGGGGAGATGGGGGGGATTCTTAGCAGTGAGGGTGTTAGTCAGGTCAAGTGGCTTCAGGGCTATTATCTTTACCAAAATAAATGGCTTGTTCCCACCTGACTCCCACTCCCAGCTATGTTAACGCACACTTTTATTAATTCTTGTAAGCCCTGTCTACAGTAAGAGATTGACCTGTTCCACCTATTAATAGGCTCTTCTGTGCCACTCATCACCATGGTATTTGTGCACCTCACCACAGAACTCTTCTCTTACGGAATATTCCAAGTTGCAGCTGCATCAGGCTCCCTGGCCAGCCCAGCAGTACTCCATAGATGAACCAGAGAGCTAGGCAATATCTGTAACAGTGCCTTGTGTAGGAGAACCAGCACCTGTGTGAGGAAATGCTGGCAATAAACTAGTTAACCTAATACATTTGTCCTTTCAACCTGGGCAACTACAAGATATAGGGGAGACCATAGGGAAGTTGGGTTTGAGGTCTATCTCCAGTGCAGCACCTCCAGGTTAATGACTCTCTGTCGGCATTATTTTCAAGCCCAAATCAGAGCATGCTGCTAGCCATTACATCCTGACAGTGAGGCAGAAGTGCCATGTTGAGACTCTTGGGTATTTTTGATACTGCAAATAAGGGCACTCCCGTTTTTGGTGTCACCAACTGTTTTGTTTAGTACTCTATCACACTTCTCTGGGTGCATGCATATGATGGACACAGCATATGATGCAGTATGCTCTTGGACACCAGGTTGCAGTACCTTTTTTCTCTTAGAAGAATACAGTTCTGTGTTGCAGAGGTGATGAGCAGAACAGCCCAGCAGAGAGCAGTTTATGACTTAAAATAAATTGCTTCAACAGTGATTCACTTTTTTTAAATGGTCACTTTGCCTGGTTTTGTTTGAATTGGACTTTAGACTGGTCAATATACATCTAGTACATGAGGTATAAATACCCTTGAATGTTACTATGTTTTGGGGCTATTAATGTACTGGTGGCTGAGTTTTACACAACATACTCCTCCCCTCCTCTCCCGTGTGATGCTTTTGTTTTATTTGGACTCTCTCAGAAATCTCATGAGAAGGAACATTTCACAAGTGCATTGTTTAAGGTGACAAGATCCTTGGCAAAAAAAATTCTCATGGTATTCTTGAAAAGACATTGTATTGGGATCCTCGTCAGTAAAGAGGGGGAAATTGCTAGCAAAACTACTTCTGTCATTTGATAACACCATTACGGGAGACCCAAGAAAATAATGTTAACGTAGCAATGTCTGAGCTGCCAGAATTTAATACCATTTTTGGGGAATGCTGACAACTAGCTTTTTCCGAATTTCCTGATCTAATTTCAAATAGTTTTCATCTATCTTAATACTCCAGTGTATTCATAACTTCACCTCAGACGGCAGGGTCAAACAAAAAAAGGTCTTGCTTTCCTGATATTCCCAAACTGCATGTTGCATCATGACAACTGCTCTGTAAAGAGGCACTCTCTCTAGAGGTATAGGTGGCACAGGTGCTGATGTGCCTTTGGAGCCCTTGAAGTTTGGTTTCGCTCACAAGTTAAGTGTTTGGTCTTGATCTAGCCTCTGGAAGTTTATTCATATCCAGTTATCTGGTGCTATTGGCGCTCTGCTGAGGACAGGCAAGGAGGTGAACATCAGGAGTGATGCAGGCCAGGATTGGCAGAGTGCTGTGTGGAAACTGGCATAATGTTTGGTAACAGACACTTAACGAATACTAGCTGGGTCATCATATGATCACAGACTTACTTTTCCTCATCATCCCAAGGAGATTTAGAAGACCAGAGTTTTGATAGCAATGTAGGGCAGGAAAGAAACGCCGCTGAAGGATGTAGAGATGGCAGTTAGAATAGGCTACGGCCAACAGAAGCTAAAACTGGGGGCCTTGCTAAAAATTGAAGCTTTGTAAAAGATCACAGATGAGGCCCTGCCCTCTTTCATATCTGAAAAGGGAAACGGTTAACTCCTGACACATTTTTACTGCGTGGGTTGGCATGACTGGCGTGTGGTCACGTAAGTGCTCATGTAGTGTTAAAGGAAGGCAGGAGTTCTGGTCGCATCTAAAGCCTTTATGGTCTATCCTTAACCATTCTGTTGCATTCAGTGGCTAAAAAAATTGTTGTGATCCTGGGCAAATAATCTAACATTTTGTGCCTTTGTTTACACATGTGAAGTAGATATACCTACCATATGTGTATTTGGAATTTAGTGTCTGCAAAAGTGCTTTGAGATACTTGAATGAAGGATCTGATACAAATCAGGAGGAGTTCACCAATCCTTTTGGCTGACCCCTTTACCTATTAACATGAGAGTTTTACACTGCCACTCATCAGTAATATGGTAAACAAAAACTACATGTGAACTCAATATATTCCAAGCAGGCTTCTGGTATCCTATAGTTGATTTTTAAAATGTCTTAGGCCTGGTCTATGCTAAAAAGTTAGGTCAACTCAGGTACATCACTCTGGGGTGTAAACATCCACATCCCTTAGCAATGTAGTTAAGCCGACCCCCCGCCCCACTCCGATGTAGACAGTGCTAGGTCAACAGAAGAATTCTTCCATTGACTAAGCTACCACCTCTTGGGGAAATGGATTACCTACGCCACCAAGAGAACCCTTCCTGTCTGCATAGGTAGTGTCTACACTGAAGCGCTACATGGTGCAGCAGCGAAGCTGTGCCATTGTAGCATTTCAAGTGTAGACAAGACCTGATTTGCAAGAAGGGGTTCTGTGTAAATATGTCCCTATTCAGATGGACTAGCTATACCTATCTTTTTTTTTTTAATATTATGCCACTACTTATCAATCCATCAGGTAGCAGAAAGCAAATTAGCCCTGGTTAAAAGTAGTACAACTTTTTATAGCAGATTACCTCAATTAGAAGATAACTGTTTTACTTTAGATTCCCCTAATTTGAATTGAAAACTACATATTACCTTGTATTTATGTATAGCATATTTGCTTTGGGATCCTTCAGAATTAATCTATATAATAAAGTATTTTGTCCATCACTGAAATGTAGCTGACTAGGAGATGGAACACTTACTCACTGTCAAACCGCTGGATGTATAAGAATACTGTAGCCAATTGAAATGGCATTAGTGAGTGAACAGCAATACTGATGACCACAATTTGACTGGCATGATCGTGGAGAGCTTCAAAGGAGTAATCCTTTCTCTCAATGCCAAGAACACAAATGTTGGATGCACTTATGTAACAAAAGTTGTTCCAGACAGAATGTCAGACTGTTGGAAAATAACTCAATCTATTATGGTGCATATAAATGCATGTCATTATGTTTCAGAGATAACATTCCTCAGGCCTGGTCTACACTGAGATGGGGGAGGGGGAATCGATCTAAGTTACGCAACTTCAGCTACGTGAATAACGTAGCTGAAGTCAACGTACTTAGAGCTACTTACCGCGGTGTCTTCGCTGTGGTAGGTCGACTGCTGACGCTCCCCCATTGACTCCGCCTACGCTTCTCGCTCCGGTGGAGTACCAGAGTCGATGGGAGAGCGCTCGGCAGTCGATTTATCGCGTCTTCATTAGATTGATCATCTTCACTGGATTGATCGCTCTGGAGGTAAATGTAGACATGCCCTCAGTTAACCCCACATCTAGTTGAGTGGGGCAGTTCATGGCTCTTTGAGCTATTGTTTCAGGCTCTTTGCAAACTCAGAGACCATGCTGCGTGGATTTTATACTTGGTTCATGGTTTTTAAAAGGTTATCTTTGCAAGCACAAGGACTAGCAATTTTTAATTAAAATTTTGTTTCTGGAACGCAACTCTGCTCCAAGGGTGGCTTCTGTGGCAAATTGTTCAGCCTCATGACACACAGGGCCTTGATTTTTACAGTTAACATACTGGAACAAACTTTCCCTGAGTGATTTATAACAGGCGGGCAAGTTTAGTTGCCAACTATTTCTGCACCTGGAAAACCCTTCTGTTGGTGTCACTGTTTCTTTCCTATTAGATTCTAAGATGATACATGACGGCATCTTAGGACTGTAAATTATGGCACTGACCTAGTGTTTCTACATCAGCAAGAAAATATTTCTGCTGGTGGTCTACCTGGGACAAAATAATGCTGGCAAATGCTAGGTGTCTAGACTTGTCACATTTTTAAAAAATGCATTCTAAGGCCCTTACACGTGTTTCTCCATAAGCATGAAAAGGGTAAAAGTGTGGCTACAGTTGGAACAGCTGGAAGAAATGTGAGATTGGGTTTTAACTACATTGAAAATGCTATTGCTTCAATGCCACTTTCTCACAATATCCTCAGATTTGGGGTGTTATGCAAAGAATTCATTTAATGGTTATTGGGTGGAGGTGACAAAGGAAAAATAAGTCTATATATAGAATGGTATGGTAAAATCATCTATCTTCCAGGGGAAGAAAAAGAAGAGGAAGAGAGAGAAGCTACAGGAGTCAACGGCAGGTATGTTGAGAGTGGCTGGCTCTCTTGTTTTGTTTTTGTTTTATTTTCCACGTCACATGTAGAAACACACACACACACACACACACACACACACACACCCCACTTCACTTACTGTTCCATTTCAGAACACTTTCGCTTGCTTCACCTCTTTTTATATTTAACATATTTTATTTTGAATGTGAGTGACTAAACATGCATCAAATATGCATTTTCACTCAGATAGAAACTGAGTATTTTCACTTTGGATGAACTTATCCATTGCCACCTTTATTGTCTTGTTTTGCTTGTTTATTTCCTTTATGCCCATTTCCCTATCATACTTAGACCAAAGAAAGTGTGTCAGACCTGTGATTATTTGACACTAAATAATCCTTTCATGTAACTTGAGTAGCCACTGTAGTATTTCCATTGTGTTTTTTACATTTTAGTTTTTGTACACTAACAGCTGCCTTATAGGCTGGCTCAAAGCATCAGTGAGGTCTCTTCTTTTCTTTTCCTTTTACTTGAAAAATATATTTAAAAAAACAACAAAATGGCTGGTATAAGAACCATAAAAAAGAACAAAACAAATTATATAATATTGTAGCATAAAACTTATTTGGAATGTGCAAAAACTCTTCAATGGAAATTTGTTAAAGAACAACAATCTTCTACAGGTACAGGTCCCAGAATGACAGCTGCCTACATCTGAAGCATGGTAAGAACATCTCTAAAGCTTTACTGCTAAAATTCAGTTGTAAAAGAGACGCTCTTGTAAAACTACTTAGATTTAATTCTACAATTAAATCTAAATTTAGCACAAATTATAGAAATACCATATCCCAAAGAAACCTTGTTTTGATTATTGATGGTTTTTATACCGGCTATGTATTAGAGATTTACCATCTCCCTTTTCTTATTTACATTTTTCAAACAGACCATACCTCACTGACTAGCTGCAAGTCTGCCTGTGAAGCACAGGGATGGCTTTATTAAGCAATATAAACCCTTTCAGCCAGCACACCACACAAAATTCATAAACGGCAGGTTAGAGTTGTGCTTTGTAGCACTGCAATTAACTTGTTGGTGACTTCAAGATGCTGGTTGGCTGGGTGCACTGGTTTGCTTTTTCTCATAGTCTTATACTTTAATTGAAAATGATTCATAAACACTAACAAAAAGCGAGGTATAAGAAAATAGACTATTTCAGCTATTAAGAATTTTTCTCCCGTGATGATTGGGCTAAGTCTCAGTTTCTTTGTTTGTTTTAAATTTCAATTTCTGTTCTCCATTTTAGAGATTAGAGATTCTTCTCTCTTCATCTCGCTCTCTAAGGGTAGATCACTATTAATTTACACAATGAATAGCCATTAAAGGTATCTGATATGCTTATCAGTATAGACTCTACCACAGCAGAATTTTTGTTTCTTTTTGTGCTAGAAGGACGTTCAGCTTCCTCCTCTGTAATGAGATCCATTTATGGAGGACACTGAGTCAGTTGAAATATTTCATTTTCACAATCTAATTAGCCCAGATTGTACCTACAAAAGTCCTCAAGTGTTTTAGGCACTATACTAATATGGACAGGTCCTGCAGAGCAGTGACTCACCAGCCACTGCATGCCCTCTCATGGCTGGGCTTGGCAGGATCACCTCCTCTGTCGCCGCCTCCTTACAGCCTCTTTGGCCCTGCAGAGGTCTGCTTATTCTCAGGATTCAGCCCGCTGGCAGGTCACTTAGTCTCTCCCCACCAGGGTAACAAAGTACAACTGACAAACGGAATTCAATGACCTTATGTTGGGTTTTTGGCCCCTAATCCTGAGTCCAGTGGTCCTTCCACTTTCTTGTCTCAGGTCTTCCAGTAGTCTTTTTATATTTTGCATCAGGGGGTTTCACACCACTTTCCTTGGTTTGGGGAGAGGAACACAGGTCCCCCCAACCTCTCTGGGTTCTGGTCCTGGTCCCAAGGTCTGCTTCTTCCAACTCCTTGCTGTCCCTGGGTTCTTCCTATCTTGGTCTGTTCCTAGGCCCTTTTGCCCAACTCCTTTCTGGCTCTGGTAGTGAGCGACACTGCCCAGAGCATCTGGTTCTTGCCCTTTTATCCACCCCTGTAGTTTTAGTCTCTCTCCTGACCAATTCAGAGTTTCTTTCTCAGGAGAGAACACCAGGGCCTACTCTCCTGGGCTTCTTTCCCCCTTTGCCCTGAAACCTTCTCTTTATATTAACCACAAAGCTCCTCCCCTATATATTCGCCTTAATTGAGCCTGACATGCCCTGTAGTTGCTAATTGAGCTCACCAATGCCCCTTAACCCTTTCATTGCCAGTGTGGGATCTGAATCACATTCCAGGTCCCTTCTCTCTCTCCCTCCTCCTGAAAAACTCTTGGCTACAGAAAGAAAATGTGTGTAGCTACTAAATCTTCTATTGTTTGTTTCCATGGCTGACTTCACGCTTTGAAAGTAGCCAGTAAAACTGTTATCTATTGGATGTACAGCTGCTTGTGGTCTACCAGAGGAATACAAGCTAAGCTACTCTATTTCCCCTGTGCTATATGCCACTCAGAATACAACTCGCTACCCTTCTGCATGTTATGCTGTCATGTTATTCAGTCTAAACTGGGTTGTGTTGAAGAGCTATTTGTTGTTTTCAATAGTGAAATCTGAGGGGTGTGGTTTGGTTGAAATGAATAGAGTGGGGGAAAATATACAAGTAAATGTATAGGTTGGATGTTTTGCCTTTTATGCAAAATTTCAGAAAATCTGACCTGGACCCTTTTCTATAGTAAACTTTATTAGAGTCTGCACAGCAAATATTGTTCTGATGTCAGATTTGTCAAAAGTAAACGTGAATGCCTTGGGTATTAGACTCAGTACCTCCTTCCTTGCAGTCTCTAAATACAAGTTTTATTGAGTACTATGCTAAAACACACGCTCTGTACCATGCATAAAAAGAGGCTCATTCTTTGTTAGAAACTCATCTGCAAGCAAGTCCTGTTGCTTATTCATCTGAAATCCTCTTCTCTGAGACTTCACTACTATTTGTAGAGGTGATTTATATAGTGAAAAAGCTCATGACTGCAAGTGGGAACAGATTGATGCCTAAACAGCAAAAATCATATCTATGTATCCCTAATGATAAAACAGAAAAAGGAGCCTCTAGTAAATATTGTCAATTGTATTGAAATTGAAAATACTTAGGAATTGTCCCTTTTTTGCAGATTATATGCATCTAGATCATGTGGAACTAGTCTACTTTTATTATGCAGGTATACCAGGTAGGATGGTTCTTGCTATTTTCATGGAATCATTTGCCCAGTAAGAGAACAGTGGTGGCCCAGGTATTAAAATTGGGAAATACAAATCATGACACTTCTCAGCATGTGAATAATATCCTACTTGGCTCAACCTTTATCTCCTTGCCAAATTTAATAAAAATGTCATGTACATGGTTTAATCTTGGGCTTTAGAGTTATGATAAAACTGATCTTTTGACTTACTATCATCACAGGTCCAAATTTATACCCTTTCTGAATTCTTGTAGATGGGCAAAATACTTAAGTGGTTAAAATCTGTTAACGTGTAGGACTTATCAAACTTCAATATATTCCACTCAGTTAAAAGCTCTTGAACACTGGAAAATTTTCAGGTTTTCTTGGATTGCTTTGATTCTCAGAACAGATGCTCTGCCTCAAGTGAATTATTTGTGTTTGGAATATTTTTATGAACTCTGTCGATAACAGAGAATGTTCTTACTAGCTGAAATAGAAGTGGATGAATGTGTTGCAAGTGTTTTGTGTTTTTCCCTAACTGGCGTGGGAAGTGTTATAATACTTGTCTCTCTATCCTCACGCAGTTTGTAACATGGAATTTGAGAATGGTAGATATCTTTTTCTCCATTGGAGCTAGGCTGTCTTGTTTGTTCTGGGCAGGTAGCTTTTTTGAATGACACTTGTTGATACAGTGATTGTGTGTGATTATAAGGGCAGTGCAAATGTGTTCCAGTGAGCGATACGAATGGGCAGACTGATTCAGAAAACATAAGTCCCCCCAAACGTAAAATAACGGATGTTTACTTTGAAGGCTAGGATAAGTATCCTTTCCACAGGGCTGGCTCCAGGCACCAGCCCAGCAAGCAGGTGCTTGGGGCGGCCAAGGGGAAGGGGCGGCATGTCGGGCTGTTCTGCGACAATTCGGAGGCGGGTCCCTCTCGGAGGGAAGCACCTGCTGCCGAATTACCACCGCTTTCTTCGGCGCGGTGGAGCTGCCGCTGGAGTGCCGCCGATCATAATTGCGGCTTTTTTTCCCCCCCCCTACTGCTTGGGGCAGCAAAAACCCTGGAGCCGGTCCTGCCTTTCCACACCCAGTCCAGGGTATATTTTTCCTACAATAGGCATCAGTTTCCTTAATATACTACAATGTCCACAATAGGGCTGTTGCAGTCTGTACTGGCCAGACCTTTCTGAAATAAGTCTCCTGGACTTCCCTGGGGATGAGCGATGATAATGCATTTGGGAGTGCCCTTAAAATGAGATTCACTAAAGGGTCTGAGATCTGAAGATCTCAGAGAAGCAAAAAGTGCTAAATTGGCACACCACACACCATCTCTACAAATGTAAGGAGTCCATTGGAGGTCAGAGGGCAAGTGGTCAGGGCTCTGAGGATAAACAGAAATTAGTAGGGGGAGGGAGCAAAGAGAGAATCCATAGGTCTAAGCAGTGGAGATCAGCCTGAGACTTCTGTACTAAGGGGAGTGTAGTTGAAAGAAGGATGAGATGGGGGAGGGGTTAGAAGAAGACACATTCAAAGAGAGATGGGTTAAGGCAGTGGTTCTCAATCAGGGGTACGCAGAGGTCTTCTGGGGTACATCAACTCATCTAGATATTTGCCTAGTTTTACAACAGGCTACATTAAAAAGCACCAGCAAAGTCAGTACAAACTGAGATTTCATACAATGACTTGTTTATACTGCTCTATATACGATACACTGAAATGTAAGTACAATATTTATATTCCAATTGATTT